TACTGATGACGTCATCTAGGCGCCATTTTGTAAAACTTTACGAAAATCAACTCATGATCATATCTTCATAACCAAAAGCTATTTCTCATTCATATTTATCATGATCAAGTTCAATAACCGTCCGGTTAATTTCAGGTCAAATAACGCGCGCGTGCGCGTACGTCCGCGCGCAAAATTTTAAAATGCTCAAAATCGTCTCAAAATCATTTTGCATACGTTTTAGGCCATTCTAAGCATTTTATAAAAAATCGCGCACACGAGCATGCGCGCGCGTTTTCGCGCGTAAAACTATTACACAACATAGAATTGCCATTTTTTTTCTTTCATAATATTTCACATATTTTTACAAACAAATTGATACCATGTTTGTCTCTTTATGACTATTAATAGCGGAATGATCGACCGTTTAACATAAGTTACCGTGCGCGCGAGCTCTTGTAATACATATCATATATGGGCAAAAACATGCCTATACAAAATCCATTGTAGCTCTTTAGAATGCAAGGTGAACCCCAATTTGTTTTCATATTTTGATAGATTTTGATTCGCAGATATGATTTCATGTCTTATTTGACTCTCAATTAACTCATGACGTCATCAGAATGGCCTCCAAACTCAAAATTTCAATTTGCATATTATGACGTCAGAATATTTTTGAAAAATTGATAGTATCTCTGTAAATATTGATCGATTGTCTTCCAATTTTTGATATGTTCTAGCTGAGACAATTCTCTACAAATGCAGTTGTCACAATTTTTCATTTTGACAGAGACATCATGGCGTATCTTTGCGATTAAAGGAGGCATGTAAAGTTTTCACATTTTGCGTGTATTCTCTATGGGACATGACTTTTTCTCAAAACTCGATTCTACATTCCCGTCTTTCGCGAGCAATATCTACGTCGTTTTAGATTTGTTTACGCTGAACTTCGAGTATGTTGTAGCTGAGACAATAAGCTATCGCAAATGTGCCCTTCATTTTGTCTCAAATTTTAGTTGGACCAGCCCACCTATACTTGTTCCAAACAAGTATTACAAATCTAGTTATATATTTTTCTTATTTCTAACCACTTTTTTGTGAACAAGATAACTTGGAAATGGCTCAATCAAATGCCTAGAAATTTGGCACACATATGTATAGACATATGTACAAAGCACAATAACGTTTTCAACATTGACCTTCACTGATGACGTCATCTAGGCGCCATTTTGTAAAATTTTACGAAAATCAACTCATGATCATATCTTCATAACCAAAAGGTATTTCTCGTTCATATTTATCATGATCAAGGTCAATATCCGTCCGGTCAATAAAAGGTCAAATAACACGCGCGTGCGCGTACGTCCGCGCGTCAATGCGCGCGCAAAATTTTGAAATGCTCAAAATCGTCTGAAAATCATTTTGCATACGTTTTAGCCCATTCTAAGCATTTTATAAAAAATCGCGCGTACGAGCATGCGCGCGCGTTTTCGCGCGTAAAACTTTTGCACAACATTGAATTGCCTTTTTTTTTTCTTTCATAATATACCACATATATTTACAAACAAATTGATACCACGTTTGTCTCTTTATGACTATTAATAACGGAATGATCGACCGTTTAACAAAAATTTCCGTGCGCGCGAGCTCTTGTAATACATAGCAAATATGGGCAAAAACATGCCTATACAAAATCCATTGTAGCTCTTTAGGATGCAAGGTGACCCCAATTTGTTTTCATATTTTAATAGAGTATGATTCGGAGATATTGTTTCATGTCTCATTCGACCCTCAATTAACTCATGACGTCATCACAATGGCCTCCGAACTCAAAATTCCAATTTGCATATTATGACGTCAGCATATTTATGGAAAATTGATTGTATCTCTGTAAATATTGATTGATTTTCTTCCAAATTTTGATATGTTCTAGCTGAGACAATTCTCTACAAAGGCAATTGCTATTATTTTTCATTTTGACAAAGGCATGGCGTATTTTTGCGATTAAAGGAGGCATGTAAATTTTTTACATTTTGCGTGTATTCTCTATGGGATATGACTTTTTCTCAAAACTCTATTCTACATTCCCGTCTTTCGCGAGCAATATCTACGTCGTTTTAGCTTTGTTTACGCTGAACTTCGAGTATGTTGTAGATGAGACAAAAAGCTATCTCAAATGTACCCTTTATTTTGTCTCAATTTTTTGTTGGATCAGCCCACCTATACTTGTTCCAAACAAGTATTACAAATCTAGTTATTTATTATTATTCTTCCTCGAATTTGTTCGCAGGATATCTCAAGACTGAAAGAAGCCATTGTTATGAATCTTTCAATGATGATAGATCTTAGTCTAACTTAGACCTGCGTGACTTTTCAAAGACTCAAAGTCATCGTGACGTCATCCAGGCGCCATTTTGTGAAAATCAACTAATGATCATATCTTCATAACGAATAGTAATTTTTCATTCATATTTATCATGATTAAGATCAATATCCGTCTGGTCAATTTTAGGTCAATAAACGTGCGTAAATGCGCGCGTGCGCGTTCGTCCGCGCGTTTACGTGCGCGCAAAAAAATTAAAATGCTCCAAATCATCCCAAATATTTTTTGCATACATTTCAGGCCATTTGGAGCATTTGACAAAAAATCATGCTCACGCGCATGCGTGCGCGTTTCTTGCGCGTACTAGCATTTTGCAACGTAGAATCGCCGAATTTTCTCTGTTTTCATATTTGGCACATTTTTCAAAGCATTTTGATAACTTGTTCACCTTTTTATAACGCAATGAGCGTCCGTCAAAGTTGACAGTGCGCACGGGCCTGCGTTATCTTTATCCACAATACATGGGCAAAAACATGCCTATACAAACTTCATTGTAACTCTTTAGAATAGACAGAAACTCCCAATAATTGTTAATATTTAGATAGATTATGAAATGGAGATATGATTTCATGTCTCATTTGACCCTCACCTAACTCATGACGTCATCATAATGGCCTCCGAACTCAAAATTTTAATTTGCATATTATGACATAAGCATATTTTTGGAAAATTGATTGTATCTCTGTAAAAATTGATTGTTTTTCTTCCAAATTTTAGTATGTTCTATCTGAGACAATTCTCTACCAATATAGTCGCCACAAATTTTCATTTTTACAAAGGCATCATGGCGTATTTTTGCGATTAAAGGAGGCATGTCAATTTTTCACATTTTGCGTGTATTCTCTATGGGACATGACTTTTTCTCAAAACTGGATCCTACACTCCTGTCTTTCGCGAGCAAAATATCCGTTGTTTTAGCTTAGTTTTCGCTGAGCTTCGAATATGTTGTAGCTGAGACAATAAGCTTTCACACGTGTTCCTTTTATTTTTCGATCAGATGCCGGGATTATGCTCACATTTCACTTGCAAAGTAGGATTTTTAGAATTCCATTTCCCGTTTACGTGTAATCGCTATGGGAAATGTTTTGCTATATCGGTAACGCACTTGACTTCCAACCTCGAGATCCATGGTTCGAGTCCGGGTGTCTCCAACAGTATTTGTCTTCACTTTTGTTTTCTTTTTGACCTTTCACTGTACCATCTCCTTTGATAATTAAAACACGTAGAGTCGCAAATAATGTAATAAACAACCCTATTTACTTTATTATTACCCTTTTTCCCCCACTTAATCCATTACTTTTTTGCGTTTAAACCCTATGGGAGATGACTTTTTTGTCAAATCTGGATTCTACATTCCTGTGTTTTGAGCAATATCGCCGATATTTCTGCTTGGATTTTGTTGATTGTTGAGTATGTTGTAACTGAAACAAGTTTCCACAAGATTTATGTAGACTATCTAACATTATCATAACGTTATCATAGTCACACATTCAATCATAGATGACATGTCTATTATCATATATAACAATCCTCAATCGAATACCTTAAGGGGGCGCTATGCCACTTTTAATCATGGTCATCTGGAAGGCATTGTTCTCAATTGCATCTCTCTCTCTCTCCTCTCTCTTGCTCTGTTTTCCTTCTCCCCTCATGTACTACCCCTTTCCTTTTTTGGTCTGTCTCTGCATCTATCTATCTATCTCTCTTCTCTTTCACCCTCTCTCTCTCTCTTGCCTTGCCTCCCTATTATTCTCTTGTCTGTCTCCCTCTGCCCTACAGTTGAAACTTGACTCATGGATAGACCATAATGGGAGTAGTAAACGAAAGATGAAATCGTGAAAATGTGTTCTTCGTTATGTTACACATGAGCATACGTATCACCTAATTCGTCAAAGTGACGAAATAAAGTCTAGTTAATTTTTGTTCTTCTCAATTCGAATTCAGACACCACTCCACCGAATGTGACGTGTGATGACGTCACAACGAGGCCCTTTTTACCGAACAGTTTTCTTGGACTGTCTTTGGGTGTTTCGTACACGTACGAGGATTCAAATCCTGATCCCAGTGGGATTACTTATAACGTAACCAAAGGACCAGGCGGAGATTTGTTCCCGCCCGGACAAACCCCAGTGACGATGTACGCGGTCGACCTACATGGCAACAGAGCGACATGTCTTTTCTACGTGGAAAATACGCGTAAGTATCTAGAATTCTAGATGGTTTGTGCATACAATGTAATTTTAGACCTTATTTGAAGTAGTAGTTCTAAAGGGTTTTTTTGGAGGGGGGGGGGGGGGGTTCTGGGCAGCTGAAGCTCCACCCCCTTAAAAAAAACCTTCAAGCCCTCAAATATTTCGCGAGGCCAATGTAGAAAATCAATACAAGAGCCCTAAGCCCCCGATGAGCTACTACCCCAAAAGATAATAGCTTCTATCTACTCTTCTAGCTCGGACCTCTATTTCAAAACCATCCCTGTAACTTGCTCCCAAGTAAACGAATAACTCGATTTGTTTTCCTTCCTCTGTATAGTGACTGAGCTACCAGTGAATTGCCCAGACCTGAACAAAACGGTCGCCACTGACATGGGACTGCCCACATATTCTTACACCCCTTCCATTGAGGCCACTGACGTCACAAAGTCCACTTTCGGGTACAGATACCACGGAGGTGCAGTTTCTGTGGATCCTACAATGGCCATTGGTAGCAAGCTAGATGTCGGTACCCATCTAGACACAGTCTTGATTTCGGATGAGGTGCTGAGTAAGACGTGCATAGGGTATATTGTTGTACAGGGTAGGTTGTTTGAACTAAGAAAATGTCTGACTTATCTTAATGATAATCATCATAATGACAATACATTGGCGGATCTACGGGGGGGGGGGGGTAATAAAAATGTGATGTGCATAGAAACACGTATAGATGCCAGGAAAACATCACTTACGTGGGTTCTAAATAGCACCCCAAAAATTTCGCCTCGTCGCATCGTCATTGGGTCAAACCCCCCTTAGCAAAAAGCTAGATCAGCTCCTGTAATATAATGGTTATGATGGTCATAACAATAAATTATACTCACTTTCAATGTTTTTTCTATCATTAATATATTTACCATCATTGTTTTAAACAATTTTGATTGTGATTACGATTACGATTATCATTATTATTGTTATCGTTATATTGCTATTATTGTTATTATTGTGGTCATTATTGGTGTCATGAGTGTTGCTTTTGTTTGCTATATTATAACTATATTCATGATACAATTGTTAATGGTAATATCTTATCGCTTTTTGTCTCATTTTTATCATCATTTGTTATTGTATTTATTTATTAATAGTAGTAGTAGTAGTAGTAGTAGTAGTAGTATAGTAGTAGAAGTATAATTGTTATTTTCAACAACCTCATCATTGGTAATATGATTATGATCCATACCATCATTTTGAATTAAATTCTTGTGATTGTTACATTAGTTAGTAGTAGTACCATCGCGATGATTATTTATGTGTAATATCATATCTCCTTTCTGTACTTATTTGAAGTTCAATTAAATATCATGTGTCAATTATTTAAAAAAACGCTGTGATAAAGTTGTGTATTATGTGGAGTCTACTATAAATGCCAGTTATATTTTTATGATTATTATCATGTCCAGTGACCTTGCAGGATGGTCTAATCCCTCCTATAAAACATTACATATAAGCTTAAATTGTTCGCAGTTGCTCAATATATGTATAGCAAATATATATCCAGTCAATATACACGTTATTGTTAGGACACAAATAAAGGCATTATTATGCCCCCGGAAAATTCATTATTAATTTTTGTTTTTCTCAATTCGAATTCAGACACCACTCCACCGAATGTGACGTGTGATGACGTCACAACGAGGTCCTTTTTACCGAACAGTTTTCTTGGACTGTCTTTGGGTGTTTCGTACACGTACGAGGATTCAAATCCTGATCCCAGTGGGATTACTTATAACGTAACCATAGGACCAGGCGGAGATTTGTTCCCGCCCGGACAAACCCCAGTGACGATGTACGCGGTCGACCTACATGGCAACAGAGCGACATGTCTTTTCTACGTGGAAAATACGCGTAAGTATCTAGAATTCTAGATGGTTTGTGCATACAATGTAATTTTAGACCTTATTTGAAGTAGCAGTTCTAAAGGGGTTTTTTGGAGGGGGGGGGGGGGGTTCTGGGCAGCTGAAGCTCCACCCCCTTAAAAAAAACCTTCAAGCCCTCAAATATTTCGCGAGGCCAATGTAGAAAATCAATACAAGAGCCCTAAGCCCCCGATGAGCTACTACCCCAAAAGATAATAGCTTCTATCTACTCTTCTAGCTCGGACCTCTATTTCAAAACCATCCCTGTAACTTGCTCCCAAGTAAACGAATAACTCGATTTGTTTTCCTTCCTCTGTATAGTGACTGAGCTACCAGTGAATTGCCCAGACCTGAACAAAACGGTCGCCACTGACATGGGACTGCCCACATATTCTTACACCCCTTCCATTGAGGCCAGTGACGTCACAAAGTCCACTTTCGGGTACAGATACCACGGAGGTGCAGTTTCTGTGGATCCTACAATGGCCATTGGTAGCAAGCTAGATGTCGGTACCCATCTAGACACAGTCTTGATTTCGGATGAGGTGCTGAGTAAGACGTGCATAGGGTATATTGTTGTACAGGGTAGGTTGTTTGAACTAAGAAAATGTCTGACTTATCTTAATGATAATCATCATAATGACAATACATTGGCGGATCTACGGGGGGGGGGGGGGGGTAATAAAAATGTGATGTGCATAGAAACACGTATAGATGCCAGGAAAACATCACTTACGTGGGTTCTAAATAGCACCCCAAAAATTTCGTCTCGTCGCATCGTCATTGGGTCAAACCCCCCTTAGCAAAAAGCTAGATCCGCTCCTGTAATATAATGGTTATGATGGTCATAACAATAAATTATACTCACTTTCAATGTTATTTCTATCATTAATATATTTACCATCATTGTTTTAAACAATTTTGATTGTGATTACGATTACGATTATCATTATTATTGTTATCGTTATATTGCTATTATTGTTATTATTGTGGTCATTATTGGTGTCATGAGTGTTGCTTTTGTTTGCTATATTATAACTATATTCATGATACAATTGTTAATGGTAATATCTTATCGCTTTTTGTCTCATTTTTATCATCATTTGTTATTGTATTTATTTATTAATAGTAGTAGTAGTAGTAGTAGTAGTAGTAGTAGTATAGTAGTAGAAGTATAATTGTTATTTTCAACAACCTCATCATTGGTAATATGATTATGATCCATACCATCATTTTGAATTAAATTCTTGTGATTGTTACATTAGTTAGTAGTAGTACCATCGCGATGATTATTTATGTGTAATATCATATCTCCTTTCTGTACTTATTTGAAGTTCAATTAAATATCATGTGTCAATTATTTAAAAAAACGCTGTGATAAAGTTGTGTATTATGTGGAGTCTACTATAAATGCCAGTTATATTTTTATGATTATTATCATGTCCAGTGACCTTGCAGGATGGTCTAATCCCTCCTATAAAACATTACATATAAGCTTTAATTGTTCGCAGTTGCTCAATATATGTATAGCAAATATATATCCAGTCAATATACACGTTATTGTTAGGACACAAATAAAGGCATTATTATGCCCCCGGAAAATTCATTATTAATTTTTGTTCTTCTCAATTCGAATTCAGACACCACTCCACCGAATGTGACGTGTGATGACGTCACAACGAGGCCCTTTTTACCGAACAGTTTTCTTGGACTGTCTGTGGGTGTTTCGTACACGTACGAGGATTCAAATCCTGATCCCAGTGGGATTACTTATAACGTAACCAAAGGACCAGGCGGAGATTTGTTCCCGCCCGGACAAACCCCAGTGACGATGTACGCGGTCGACCTACATGGCAACAGAGCGACATGTCTATTCTACGTGGAAAATACGCGTAAGTATCTAGAATTCTAGATGGTTTGTGCATACAATGTAATTTTAGACCTTATTTGAAGTAGTAGTTCTAAAGGGTTTTTTTGGAGGGGGGGGGGGGGGGGTTCTGGGCAGCTGAAGCTCCACCCCCTTAAAAAAAACCTTCAAGCCCTCAAATATTTCGCGAGGCCAATGTAGAAAATCAATACAAGAGCCCTAAGCCCCCGATGAGCTACTACCCCAAAAGATAATAGCTTCTATCTACTCTTCTAGCTCGGACCTCTATTTCAAAACCATCCCTGTAACTTGCTCCCAAGTAAACGAATAACTCGATTTGTTTTCCTTCCTCTGTATAGTGACTGAGCTACCAGTGAATTGCCCAGACCTGAACAGAACGGTCGCCACTGACATGGGACTGCCCACATATTCTTACACCCCTTCCATAGAGGCCAATGACGTCACAAAGTCCACTTCCGGGTACAGATACCACGGAGGTGCAGTTTCTGTGGATCCTACAATGGCCATTGGTAGCAAGCTAGATGTCGGTACCCATCTAGACACAGTCTTGATTTCGGATGAGGTGCTGAGTAAGACGTGCATAGGGTATATTGTTGTACAGGGTAGGTTGTTTGAACTAAGAAAATGTCTGACTTATCTTAATGATAATCATCATAATGACAATACATTGGCGGATCTACGGGGGGGGGGGGGGGGTAATAAAAATGTGATGTGCATAGAAACACGTACAGGTGCCAGGAAAACATCACTTACGTGGGTTCTAAATGTGACCCCAAAAATTTCGCCTCGTCGCATCGTCATTGGGTCAAACCCCCCTTAGCAAAAAGCTAGATCCGCTCCTGTAATATAATGGTTATGATGGTCATAACAATAAATTATACTCACTTTCAATGTTATTTCTATCATTAATATATTTACCATCATTGTTTTAAACAATTTTGATTGTGATTACGATTACGATTATTATTATTGTTATCGTTATATTGCTATTATTATTATTATTGTGGTCATTATTGGTGTCATGAGTGTTGCTTTTGTTTGCTATATTATAACTATATTCATGATACAATTATTAATAGTAATATCTTATCGCTATTTGTCTTATTTTTATCATCATTAGGTGATACGTACGAAGTCTACGTATCACCTATTGATTTCGTCAAGATTTTTATTAGGTGATACGTAACGAAGTCTACGTATCACCTATTGATTTCGTCAAGATTTTTATTTATTAGGTGATACGTACGTAGACGTATCACCTTTTAATTTCGTCAAGATTTTCTTTATTTTCAGGTGGGCTGTATAACGTACAGACCACCTTATAATTTCGTAAGAATTGCCTTTATTTATTAATTTATTTATTATTCTTTATTTTTCTTATTTCGAACCACTTTTTTGTAAGCACGATTACTTGAAAATGGCTCGATAAAATGCCTTTAAATTTGGCAAACATATGTATAGGCAAATGTACAAAGCACAATAATGTTTTTAACATTGACCTTCACTGATGACGTCATCTAGGCGCCATTTTGTAAAATTTTACGAAAATCAACACATGATCATATCTTCATAACCAAAAGCTATTTCTCATTCATATTTATCATGATCAAGGTCAATATCCGTCCGGTCAATTTCAGGTCAAATAACGCGCGCGTGCGCGTACGTTCGCACGTCAATGCGCGCGCAAAATTTTAAAATGCTCAAAATCGTCTCAAAATCATTTTGCATACGTTTTAGGCCATTCTAAGCATTTTATAAAAAAATCGCGCACACGCGCATGCGTGCGCGTTTTCGCGCGTAAAACTATTGCACAACATAGAATCGCCATTTTTTTTCTTCCATAATATTCCACATATTTTTACAAACAAATTGATACCATGTTTATCTCTTTATGACTATTAATGACGGAATTATCGACCGTTAAACATAAATTTCCGTGCGTGCGAACTCTTGTAATACATAGCATATATGGGCAAAAACATGCCTAATCAAAATCCATAGTAGCTCTTTAGGATGCAAGGTGACCCCAATTTTTTTTCATATTTTGATAGAGTATGAATCGGAGATATGATTTCATGTCTCATTTAACTCATGACGTCATCATAATGGCCTCCGAACGCAAAATTTCAATTTGCATATTATGACGTCAGCATATTTTTGGAAAATTGATTGTATCTTTGTAAAAATTGATCGATTTTCTTCACAATTTTGATATGTTCTAGCTGAGACGATCGTCTTCAAATGCAAAACCCACAATTTTACATTTTAATAAAGGCATCATGGCGTATATTTGCGATTAAAGGAGGCATGTCAGTTTTTCACATTTTGCGTGTATTCTCTATGGGACATGATTTTTTCTCAAAAAATGGATTCTACATTCCCGTCTTTCGCGAGCAATATCTCCGTCGTTTTAGCTTCGTTTATGCTGAACTTCAAGTATGTTGTAGCTGAGACAATTAGCTATCTCAAATAAGCCATTCATTTTGTCTCAAATTTTAGTTGGACTAGCCCACCTATACTTGTTCCAAACAAGTATTACAAATCTAGTTTATTATTTATTTTTCCTCTTTCTAACCACTTTTTTGTAAGCACGGTAAATTGAAAATGGCTCAATCAATTGCCTTCAAATTTGGCACACATATGTATAGGCATATGTACAAAGCACAATAACGTTTTCAACATTGACCGTCACTGATGACGTCATCTAGGCGCCATTTTGTAAAATTTTAGGAAAATCAACTCATGATCATATCTTCATAACCAAAAGATATTTCTCATTCATATTTACCAGGATCAAGGTCAATATCCGTCCGGTCAATTTCAGGTCAAAAAAACGCGCGCATGCGCGTACGTCCGCGCGTCAATGCGTGCGCAAAATTTGAAATGCTCAAAATCGTCTCAAAATAATTTTGCATACGTTTAAGGCCATTCTAGGCATTTTATAAAAAAAATCGCGCACACGCGCATGCGCGCGCGTTTTCGCGCGTAACACCATTATGCAACATAGAATCGCCATTTTTTTTCTTTCATGATATTCCACATATTTTTACAAACAAATTGATACTATTTGTATCTCTTTATGACAATTAATAACGGAATGATCGAACGTTTAACATAAATTTCCGTGCGCGCGAGCTCTTGTAATACATAGCATATATAGAAAAAATCATGCCTATGCAAATATCCATTTTAGCTCTTTGTGATGCACCGGGGCCCTCAATTTTTTCATATTTAGATAGAGGATGAGTCGGAGATATGATTTCATGTCTCATTTGACCCTCAATTAACTCATGACGTCATCATAATGGCCTCCAAACTCAAAATTTAAATTTGCATATTATGACGTCAGCATATTTCTGGAAAATTGATTGTATCTCTGTAAATATTGATCAATTTTCTTCCAAATTTTGATATCATCTAGCTTAGACAATGTTCTACAAATGCAGTGAACACAATATTTCATTTTGACAAAGGCATCGTGGCGTATTTCTGATATTAAAGGTGGCATGTCAATTTTTCACATTTTGCGTGTATTCTCTATAAGACATGACTTTTTCTCAAAACTGAATTCTACATCCTGTCTTTTGCGAGCAATATCTCCGTCGTTTTAGCTTTGTTTTCGCTGAGCTACGAGTATGTTGTAGCTGAGACAATAAGCTATCATAAGTGTGCCCTTTATTTTTTGGTCAGATGCCGGGATCATGCTCATATTTCACTTACAAAGTGGGATTTGTGAATTCTATTTTCCGTTTACGTGTAATCTCTATGGGAAATGTTTTTGTATATCGGTAACGCACTTGACTTCCGACCTCGAGGTCCCTGGTTCGAGTCCGGGCGTCTCTAACAATTTTTTTTCCTTCACTTTTTTTTTTTTTGACCTTTCACTGTACCATCTCCTTTGAATATTAAAACACGTAGAATCGCAAACAATGTAATAAACAACCATATTTACTTTATTATTACCCTATTATCACTTGATCCATTACTTTTTGCGTGTAATCCTTATGGGAGATGACTTTTTCTCAAATCTGGATTCTACATTCATATCTTTTGCGAGCAATATCGCCGTTATTTCAGCTTAATTTTTGTTGATTTTTTAGTATGTTGTAGCTGAGACTATACGCTATCTAAATGTCCCCTCATTTTTAATCAGATGTCATCATGGTCTGTTGATGATGAAAATCAACATCACCATGATCATCATCATCGTCATCACCATTACTATCAAGATCATCATCATCATGATCATCATCATGATCATAATTCTTTACATGTCTATATAACTTCTCCCTTTTTCAATATAGTAAATATTGAATTAAAGATGAGCATGAACATAGGAATTGAAGACAGACCACCTAATTCGTCCCCATGACGAATTAAATTTCTAGTTTATTCTTTATTTTTCTTATTTCTAACCACTTTTTTTGTGGACAAGATAACTTGAAAATGGCTGAATCATATGCCTTCAAATTTGGCACACATATGTATAGGTATTTGTACAAAGCACAATAACGTTTTCAACATTGACCGTTACTGATGACGTCATCTAGGCGTCATTTTGTAAAATTTTCGCAAAAACAACTCATGATCATATCTTCATAACCAAAAGCTCATTCTCCTTCATATTAATCATGATCAAGGTAAAAATCCGTCCGGTCAATTTCAGGTCAAAAAACGCGCGCGTGCGCGTACGTCCGCGCGTCAATGCGCGCGCAAATTTTTAAATGCTCAAAAACGTCTCAAAATCATTTTGCATACGTTTTAGGCCATTCTAAGCATTTTATGAAAAATCGCGCACACGCGCACGCGTGCGCGTTTTCGCGCGTAAAACTGTTACACAACATAGAATCGCCATTTTTTTCTTTCATGATTTTCCAGATACTTTTACAAACAAATTGATACCATGTTTGTCTCTTTATGACCATTAATAACAAGATGAGCGTCAATTCAAGAAAAATGCCCGTGTGCGCGAGCTCTTTTCATACATAGCATATATTGGCAAAAACATGACTATTCAAAATCCATTATAGCTCTGATGAATAAACCGGGACTCTCATTTTTTCTTCATATTTGGATAGAGTTTGACTTGAAGATATGAAATCATGTCTCATTTGGCCATTACAAATATCATGACGTCGTCATTATAGCCTTGGAACTCAAAATACGAATTTGCATATTATGACGTCAGCATATTTATGGGAAATTGATTGTATCTCTGAATGTGTTGATTGATTTTCTTCAACATTTTGATATGTTCTAGCTGAGACAATTTCCTGCAAATGCAGTCGACCCGATTTTTCATTTTGATAAAGGCATCATGGCGTATTTTTGCGATTAAAGGAGGCATGTCTCCTTTAGCCTCTCTACAGCCACCGTTGCCATACCAACCAACGCCACCATTTCAGTACATCCAGTCACGTAATCGCACACACCCCCAGCCACTCCCACCAGAAGAAAAGGATAGCTTCCCATCAATTCGCTCCACCCAGCCAGTCCCTCTTCAGTCAACGCAACGTACATCGTTTCCATATCAACAGACGCCACCATTTCAATACACCCAGTCACGTGAACGCACACACCCCCAGTCACTCCCACCAAGACAACAATACAACATGCCAATATATGAATCATCGCTCGACTTATGCTTCAGTAGTCAGTGCACCAACATCACGTAACCTAAGTCGCGCAATTCAAGGATGTGAATTCTGTGGAGAACCGAACCACCGCACTCATTTCTGCCGCCATGGGGCTCCACTCCAGTGCCGCCAGTGTCTGCAGACTGGTCATAAACTAAGATATTGCCCCTACTACTAGCATGGTGGCCAAGAAGAGAGCGCCTCTAATAAATGTCATATGTCAAACCAGGATACTAATGTCAATATTATACCAGATATTTCTTCCTTCAAGAAAAAGTCTACGAACCATTTTTCACAACAACTCAATCTTATAAATGGTAAAATCCCTAAACTATCGAAAGGAAGTCTATTTTTGCATTTGAATATCAGAGGTTTGGTAAATAAGATTGATTTAATACGATACCTTTTGTCTAATAATAATATTGATGTTCTTTGTTTTAACGAAACTTTTTGTGATTCTTCTATATCCGATAATGAAATATCGATCGACAATTTAAGAGTTGAACGTAAAGATAGAACACGCCACGGTGGAGGAATAGCTATTTATATATCAGATAAGATTTTTTATACCAGAAGATACGATTTGGAAAGTCTGGATTTAGAAATGATATGTATTCAAATTACTTTACCTTTTCAGAAAAGCATGTATGTTGTTAGTATATACAGATCTCCGTCATGTGATGTTTCATTTTTTTGAAAAACTTGAAGCAAGGTTGGAATCAATATGTTCTTCAGGTTCTTCAATAGATGAAATACTCGTTTTTGGAGATTTTAACTGTGATTATAGTAAATTAAAAGATACACGTTTATTTCACAAACTAGATTATTTGACGAGTTCGTACAACTTTATTCAATTAATCGATATTTTTACGCGCGTTACGAAAAACTCCGCTTCCATTATTGATCTCGCTTTTACAACTCGTACTTCAAAAATTGTCGAACATGGATGTATAATGACTTCTCTTAGTGATCATTACATGGTGTATGTTATTCGAAATTTGAATTCAAGACAGAAAAAGTCTCTACCTAAAACTGTTTCCTTTCGCTCTTTAAAAGATTTTGACGATCAGGAATTTTATGATCTTTTAGAATCTGCATCTTTGTCAAATTTATGTGACATTGACGACGTTAATGTTTTCTGGAGAACCTGGAAATTAATTTTTACCTCTATTGTAAATAAAGTTGCACCAATAAAATCATTTCGTGTTAAAGATCAATCGCTTTCGTGGATAACGTCACTTATTAGAACACTGATGAAGAAAAGAGATAATATTCATAGAAAATTTTTGAAAGTAAGGAAAAAGATTTTATTGCAAAAAGATTCCCATTTAAATACAATGTGTGAAGAATTATGGTCAAAGTACACCAATCTAAGGAATGAGGTCAATATATCTATGTTTAAAAGTAAAACTGAATATTTAAAGAAAGAAATCAAGAAAAATGTAAACGATGTTTCAAAGATGTGGAAATGTTTAAAGTTATTATTACCAACAAAATCCTCATCATTTCCTTCCATTCTTTACGACAATGATATGGTGTTTAATAACGATGACGCTATTGCCAATGCATTTAATGATTATTTTATTCGAATAAATGCTAAGCTCGCGCAAGAGATGAATGTCATACAAGCCGACGAACATGATATTGGGGATGTTTTTAATTGCTATCCTTCCAATTATGTTTTTAACTTTGTTTCCACCAATGAAAGCTATGTTGAAAAATTGATTTCAAACTTGGATTCTTACAAAGCAACAGGGTCTGATGATATTAATATTATCTTCCTAAAAAAAGTCTAAAGCTTTTATTGTACCAACCATTACTCAATTGATTAATTTGTCTTTTTCAACAGGAGTCTTTCCCAATGATTGGAAGTATGCAAAGGTTTTTCCGTTATTCAAAAAAGGCGACATTAACAATATTGGTAATTTTCGTCCAATTTCCATCTTACCTGCAATAAGTAAACTCATTGAAAGGACTGTTCATCAGCAATTGTATGATTATTTAATAGAACATAATATCCTCAGTAAGACGCAGTTCCGGTTCCGGCCAGGTCATTCTACAGCCTCGGCTCTTGGGGCTTTAACAGACAGTTGGTTACACTGCATAGATAAAGGCCTCATTGTAGGGGCTCTTTTTATTGATTTAAGACGAGCTTTTGATACGGTTAATCCAGATATTTTGTTAAATAAGTTAAAGAAAATAGGTTAGAGTAAGTTATCATTAGCTTGGTTTGACTCGTATTTAAATAATAGAAAACAATATGTTGTTATAAAAGATTCTAAATCAACTGATCGCTGTATTTCTGTTGGAGTTCCACAGGGATCTATTTTGGGCCCGCTCCTATTTTTAATTTATATAGATGATATGTCAGAAGTTTTGAAACATGGAAAAATTGTAATGTATGCCGACGACACGACACTTTATGTAAGTGGACCCACCTTTTCGGATGTACAAATTAAATTGCAAAGTGATTTTAATGTTATATGTAGATGGATAAAATGTAATAAACTCTATTTGAATGTTGATAAAAACCAAATTTATGATCATCGGAAGTAAACAAAGATTAAACCATTTTAAAAATGACAGTATTACATTAAAGTATGAAGATATATGTGTTGAACAATGTAAGATCTTTAAATGTCTAGGTATTATGATCGATGAAAACATATTATGGTCTGATCATGTAGATTATTTATGTAGAAAAGTGTTTGCCGGACTTGCCATGCTTAGAAGAGTTAAACCATATGTAGATGACATTTCATTGAAATTATTATACACATGTCTCATACAATCACAAAATGATTATTGTTGTGAAATTTGGGGAAACAGGTTTTTAAGTCATATAGATAAGATAACTAAACTACAAAAGAGGGCTGCAAGAATGATTTTAAACTGTAATATGTATACCCCATCAAAGGAATTATTTACTCGCATGAAATGGATACCATTTCAAGAGAGGGTTAAATATTTTAGATGTATATTTGTTTTTAAATGTCTTAACGATTTATCTTCAGACTTTCACAAAGATGTTTTTCAAGAAGTATCAACTCAACATAATTTTTACACACGGCAATGTACTCGTCATGACCTGATTATTGATAAATGTCATACTGAATACCTTAAGAATGCAATAAGTTATGATGGTGCTTCTCTATGGAATAAATTACCTTCTACTATTAAGCAGATAAGTAATGTAAAGACCTTCAAATTGGCACTTAAGAAATATTTTTTCCACCTTGCTGTTGAATCAGGATAGGTTTTGAGGAACACCTTTTTAAAATTATTTTTTACTGCTAGTCTGCCTCTATTTTTCTTTAAGCTCTCTTTCTCGCTTCTTTTACTTAATCCTTTACTCTCTTAGCAAGTGATCTATTTATAATAGCATTCATCATAATTGACACTGATTAATATGTTTGATATTGTATATTTATTTTCAATATGTAATACTGTTCTATTAATGTATTCATACCTAATTGTTTGTTTTATCTTTTTAATTGTATATACATGTTTTACAGGGCCTCATGTTGAATGGGCTACCCTGGTGAAATATAAATAAATAAATAAAAAAATAAATAAAATGTCAATTTTTCACATTTTGCGTGTATTCTCTATGGGACATGACTTTTTCTCAAAACTGGATCCTACATTTTCGTCTTTCGCGAGCAATATCTCCGTCGTTTTACTTTCGTTTTCGCTGAACTTTGAGTATGTTGTAGCTGAGACAATGAGCTATCACAAATGTGCCCGTTATTTTTCGATCAGATGCCGGGATCATGCTCATGTTTCACTAGCAAAGTGGGATTTGGGAATTCCATTTTTCGTTTAAGTGTAATCGCCATGGGAAATGTTTTGGTATATCGGTAACGCACTTGACCTCCGACCTCGAGATCCCTGGTTCGAATCCGGGCGTCTCCAACAATTTTTTTCTTTCTTTTTTTTTCTTTTTGACCTTTCACTGTGATTGATTCCTTTGATTATTAAAACACGTAGAATCGCAAACAATGTAATAAACACCCCTCTATACTTTATTATTACATTATTTTCACTTGATCCATTACTTTTTGCGTGTAATCCCAATGGGAGATGACTTTTTCTTAAATCTGGATTCTACATTCCTGTCTTTTGCGAGCAATAACGCCGTTATTTCTGCTTGAATTTTGTTGATTTTTAATTAATTTTTCTTAATTCGATCAAATTTTTATGAGAAAGATAACTTTTAAATAATTCAATCAAATACCTTGAAATTTGGCACACATATGTAAAGGCATATGGAGAGAACACGGTCACGTTTTCAACCTTGACCTTGACTGATGTCGTCATCTAGGCGCTATTTTGTGAAATTTTCTGAAAATCAATTCATGATCATATCTTCATAACCAAAAGTCAATTCTCATTCATATTTAACATGATCAAGGTTGATATCCGTCCGTTCAATTTTAAGGTAAAAAATGTAAATGCCCAAAATCGTCTCAAATTTATTTTGCATACGCTTCAGGTCATTTTAAGCATTTTATGCATAGAATCGCCATTTTATTTTCTTTCATGATATTTCACATCTTGTAATAAACAAATTAATACCATGTTATTTCTGTATGACCATTAATAACAAGATGAGCGTCCATTCAAGATAAATGTCCGCGCGGGAGAGCTCTTGTAATATTTGTTTTCCTCATAAATGTTTTCAGACATGTAAAGCATGGCATGAGATATGTTCGTGTGTTAATTACAGCACTCTTCATCAGCAGCCAGGGTGCAATAATTAAGCTCACGAACTAAAACAACCATGTTCTTTATTTAGGCATTTATTATCGGGCATAATACCCATTTAAAGCTGTCATCATCTAATTAGAAGAGGGAGAAGAAAAAAATCCGTTTCTGAACCAGGCACACAATGCGTGTCTGGTCCTGGCTGTACGGATTTTTTTTTTTACAAAAAAAAAATCCTATTTAAAAATATCTATATCCATGGTTTATCCGCGATGAATTACATATTTTGTAAAGAAAAAAGTAGTGTTAGGCTTAATTGACACCATTGCGATTGCCTGTACAATAAAACAATA